CTCCCTTGAAAATAGGAGTTACATTAGCTAACTTCCAATCCTCTGGTGCCTGCCCACTATTCGAGGACTGACAAAAAATAGTAGCAAATGGCCCACATATCAAATCTTTAACCTCCATCAAAACCCTTGGGGAAATATTATCTGGTCCAGAAGCCTTATAATTTTTTGAACTTCCCAATTTTTTCTTAACCAGCTCAGAATTAATACAGTCATCTTGTTTGATCTCATTTCCATTTATCAACTGATCAAGATGTAGAATTTTGTAAATAGTTAAAAATAAAAAGATAATTAAAGAATATATAAGTAATATAGTATTCTGTCTGTTCATTTTCAATTATTTATTGATATGTTGTTAATAGAAATTACAGTTTATGGTATTTCATTTGCAAGTTATCAAAAAAAAGATAAATAATTAGAAAATGACATAAGGAGTAGCATAATTGTTGAATAAAAACAATTGTAATATATTATATGGAATATATCAATAAAAAGGATTGATTCAGAAAATATTAGAAAAGATAAATGGGTTAATGGTTAGGTCTAAACAAAAATGGACTGAAGTTGGAGAAAAGTGTAGTGCAATTTCTTAAATTTAAGAAAGGAAATTACATAAATAAAACAGTTTCAAGGATAACTTGATATAAAGAATAAACTGAACAAAATTAAGTTCTAAAATAATAAGTAAGTTATTTAAAATGAGAGATGGTAATTTATAGGATATTGGTTTGAATGAACTGTTAAGACAAAAACAAAGTTCATCACTTTCTGTTGAAAACAGAGGAAAGTTAGAATAAGTTTCTTTGATGTAAAAGAATAAGAAAAATGACCAGGAGTTGATAGTTTTGCAGTTGAATTCTTTAAATTAACTTGGTAGGAATTAAATAATGACTAGCACAATTTTTGAGTAAAAGTAATTACAATACATTTTGTGAAATACCATATCATGGGAAAAAGAATTAACTTAGAAATGAAAAGATAAATGTGTTAATGGATGGAAGAAGGAGAAAAATCTATTACAGTTTCTTAAATTTATAAAAGAAAATTATATAAGTAAAAACAGTTAGAAAGATAAATTTTTCTGAAAGGGATTTCTATGATATATATATATAAAGAAAAATTACCAGGAATTAATAGCTTTACAGTTGGATTCTTTTACTTGTTTTGGCAAAATGTATATCATCATTGCAAAATGCTGCAAATTATGCATATTGAACTGGAAAATTATCTAAAATACCAAAAAAAGACTTGAATAACTCTTATTCCAGAAAAACTAAATTAAGAAATATTTTACAGAACTGGATACCAGTTATTTTATTAAACACTGTTTATAAACTGATTTCAGGATGTATAGCTGAAAGGATAAAAACTGTTACCATTAATGATTCATGAAGATCAAAAAGGTTTTATAAAAGGTAGGTTAACTGGAGAAAATATAATTGTATAACTTGTACCAGAAAAAAAACAATATATTAGGACTGTTACTATTAGTAGACTTTGAAAAGGCTTTTGATAAGTTCTTTTAGGAATTTACAATAATATCATAGATATATTTGGTTTTAGAAACTCAATTAACTCTTCCATTATGGGCTGGGTGGAATCTACTCAGCTCATATCCACTAAAGTATCCATGAGAGTAATTGAACTGTGATTTTTG